TTATTTTTAATAAAAAAATTGGTAATTTATGTTACTATATATAATTGACGTATATCAGTTATTTATATTTAAAGAGTGGGTATATTGGTAATTAACCCAATTGATATGACAAATTAATAAAAATTATAAGTAAAATATTTAAGGGTAGTTTTGTCTTTTTAATCAAATATTAACTGAAAACCCTAACAGAACTTGACGAAGAGTGGCAAAGTGTCATTTTGAAACTTAACGGGTGGGAAAGTGTCATTTTGTTAAACCTTGGGTGGGAAAATGTCGTTCTCCCTTTTTTCTAACTTGATTTTCCTTCTAAATTTATTTTTTGGGGCAGTTTTAAGGTACACCCAAGACTATGACGTGAAAAAAGTACCCCAAACGCTATACACCACCTGTAATACATATTCAAAGAAGCCGAATCAAGATTTAACGACGACGACACTGTTGTCTCTCTTACTCAACCTGACAATCTGTACTTCATTTTCAACAATTTCTACAGAACGCTCAGGTTGTACGTCTTCATTACTAACTTTTTTGAAAAAGTCAAGTTAAAACACAATCAATTTTTAAATAACTTTATAAGAAAGATTTCTCATAAATTTTTTTGACATTTTTACCCTTATCTTCTACATTTAATCACATTAATACCATTCTTGTTCATGATAGAATTTTATTTTTTAAAAGATTGAAATATAAAATATTACCATTTTCTAAAGATTATAAAGTTAAAAGATATATAAAATGTCTAAAATATATTTTGTGTATGTAAAAAGCAGAAAAAAGATATGTAATATTAACTAAAAGTTGGTTAAAAAATGGCTTTTCCGGAAAATTGATGAATAAATTCGAAGACTATATACTCTTGCAACGTATAAGTCGGGTATAATAATATTAGCCTTATTCGAATGGACTTTTTTTATATTTTATATTGGAAAATTGATATTAGATATAAAATCAATTAGGTAAAATATCATCATAACTTTCATGACAAAGAATAGGTTGTTTGATTGATTGATTTAATTTGTTGAGTCTATGCGATTATATTTTGGGCCCATTAACAGAATCTAAAGGATATAATTAAGGGAGAACGGCATTTTTCCACCCAAGGTATGGACACTTTTCCACCATTAAAGTTTCAAAATGACACATTTTCACTGTTTATTAAGTTTTGTTATGTTTTTTATTAATATTTTATTGAAAAGATAAAAATATTTTTAAATATTTGATTTTATAATTTTTTGTTATTTTTTAATCAGACAAAAATTAAAATATTAAAAAGTCAATAATAATAATAATAATTAACCCCATCTAAAAAGTTAGGAATAATGTTATAAGATTGTTTAAAGTTAAAAGACCTTAATATTTATTTATTTATTTATAATATCATAAATATCTTATCACTATTATTCAATAATCTATTAAATTTATAATGTTTTTAATAATATATTGTTTTTTATCTTTATTAATTAACATAGAAAATTAATATTCTTAATTAATTAAATAAACAAAAGAGAAAGATATATTTACACTTGAACTAATAAATAATTGATAGTAAAGATTTTGATTTAACTAAATTTTAATTTATCATAAATTATTTGAGGATATTTTTGTTTATTTAATTAAATATTAAATAAAAACATTAACAAGGCTTGACTACAGTAGGAAAATGTCATTTTGAAACTTAACAGGTGGACAAATATAGGGGGTGTTTGTCTGAACTTATGAAAATTAGCTTATAAGCAACAAGTACTTATAAGCTAATTTTAGCTTATAAACATTTAAAATTTTAAGCAATTACGTGTTTGGTCAAAGTACTTATAAGTGACTGATAAATAGTTGACGTGTTTAGTAAAATGTGGCTTATAAGTATATTTTATTATAAAATGACTAAAAAGAGTACTACATTAAACAAGGGTATACTATAGAATTTTAAAATTAAATAAGGATAATGTGGTAATATATTTGGTCAAACTAGCTTATAAGCAGAATGCTTATAAGCTAAAAAAAAGTACCTCCTCCCTAACTTATTATTTTTTTTTTGCTTATAAACTCAATTTATAAGCTCAAAAAGATTATAAATAAACAGATCAACTTAATTTCAGAGCTTATAAGTAAATTTGACCAATTTATAAGCTTAGATAAACACTTATATTGTTTTTCAAACCTTGCGTTGGAAAATGTCATTCTCCCTATAATTATTTACTCGAATCATTACAAAAGATAAGTCAAAAGGAGATTGGATGTTATTTATGTGAAGTAATAAAGGCTGTGTTTGGCGTAATATTTTTATCCATATTCTGGATCCTATTCTCCAAATAATGTTTGGCACATTATTCAAGAAATATTACCCTATTTTTTTAATTACTTTTAAACCCCATAAAGTTATTAATTTCACTAAATACCCCCTGAAAAAAAAGTTTAAAAATTAACAAAAACACCCCCATCAACCAACTTGTCAGATTCCGGCAACCACCGTCGGTGATAGCCGGAATCTATACAACGGCCTAACTTTCGACCATAAATGGCCGGAAGTTCACCGATATGGCTTTTTCCGGCCAGATCCACCACGGATCTGGCCGGAAAAGGCCAGATCTGGCCGTCAGCGACGGCCAAACCGTCGTTGACCAAAAACGACGGCCACATATTTGGCTGTCGCTGACGGCCAAAGATGGCCGTTGTTTGGCCTTTTCCGGCCGTCGACTGCCATAACAGACCGTGTTACGGCACAGATCCGACTGGTCTGTGCCGTAACGAAATTTTCAGACCAGATTTCGGCGGTGGTGGCCGGAATCTGGCACTGCAGGTGGTGGGGGTGTTTTTGTCATTTTATATATTAGGGTCTTTAATTAAATTAGTAAACCTAAGGGCTTTTTCACAAATTTTTAAAATTTACCTCGTAATACTCCCCTATCCAATAACCCAATACTATCCCAAAATCCTATCCAAAATACTAAACCAAACGCACCCAAAGTTGTTATAAAAAGTGGAGCCCACACGGTGACCCACAAAATCTAAGTGTTCTAAATTCTCCGTCAAATGTGCTTTTTTAGTCGAAACTCATAAGCACTTATTCAGCCACTCACGGCTTGATTGAATGGGTTTATGAAAATTAGTTTATAAATAATAATTAATTTTAGTTTATAAATATTTAAAATTTTAAATAATTACATATTTGGTTAAAGTATTTATAAATAACTGATAAATAATTAATATATTTAATAAAATGTGACTTATAAATATATTTTATTATAAAATAACTAAAAAAAATATTATATTAAATAAAAGTATACTATAGAATTTTAAAATTAAATAAGAATAATGTGGTAATATACTTAGCCAAACTAGCTTATAAGCAGAGTGCTTATAAGCAAAAAAAGCAAAAAAAAAAAATATATTATATTAAATAAAAGTATACTATAGAATTTTTTTTTTTTTTTTGCTTATAAGCTCAACTTATAAGTTTAAAAAAGTTATAAACAAACACGTCAGCTTAATTTTAGAGCTTATAAGCTTAGACAAATACCATTTTACCAATTATCAAACATTACCTATTCATCTCCCTGCCGTCTCCACCTTTGAAAGACTCGTACTATCTCCACTCCCACAAAGTCCAGTCATCTCTCAACTCAGGTTAACTGTGCTGTTAACTGATTAAGCACATTTAATATACTACTATGTTTAAAGAATAATTTTTCTCTGCATCTCAAATCAATTGGTCTTGGTGTTTGTCAGTCTCATAAATTATTTCTCATTTAAAAAAAAAAAGAGTAATAATATAATTTAAAAGTTGAAATCAACTTTTAATCTCAGCTAATATTATCATTCTCATCAAGCTAATATGATTATTGTTATCATTACAAGATGATTATTGATACTAATCCAGACATCATTTGAGCTTAGAATCACAATTACATACAACCAGATACTCCATGATTGAACCATTCAAGTTACATCCTAACCCAAACCTCACATCTCTCATCTCTCGTCTATGTATAAAGCATGTCTATGTATCAGTCAATAGAATCATAGTTATACTCACATCTCTCGTCTCTACATTAAATGGTTTCAACTTCCAATATGTTACAATTTATTTTAAAAATAATTATTTTCAGTTAGACATTGAATTAAATACCAAGAAAAAAAAACAAATCAAATAAAAACAATAATTTTCTAATAGCTAGAAATGTTGTATATATATCATGAATAATAAATAAAATTATCTTATTGAGATACCTTATCAAAGATGTTGAATTTAGTAATTTATTGTAGATTTATGATTTGTTGGTTTTCATGAAATGGTTTCAATTAATTTTATAACAAGAAATTTAATCCATGGAAATTGTGAGTATTTTTTTTTTTTTTTTAATGAATTGAGATATAAGAATGGCTGATTTGGTGGCGTTCTTAGTATATTAACAAAATTATGATCATCTGCCAACTGTCTGGTCTCTAGATTCTAGAACATTGATTGTATCATCTTATAATATGTATTATATATGTTATCTTAAATTTAATATTATACATATAATTTAATGTTTTTATAATTTTGTAATGAAAATACGAAATGTATACCGAAACTTAAATCACGCAATCAGTTAAGTGGGGTTTAGTCAACTTAATCAATGTGATTATATTTAGATTGGCCCAATAATAACTTTGAATTTTTGTTTTAATTATATCTGTTTACACATCACACCATTCCATTTACAGATGGCCTATTTAAAATTCAACCATCAAAGGATAAGCATATATTTAAACAAAACAAAAACAAAAAATATATATATATATATATTAAAATAAAAGAAAGTTTGTCAAAGGTTATCAGGACCCGCCTCTTCACTTTGCCTTCAACTTTGTGGGTGATTGGAGCCCACTGTGTAACCCAGCCAATCCAAATGCAAACCCAAAACCAAACCCAATAGGGGAGAGCCACGAAGAAAAGTACACGGTTGAAATGCGTTTTATAAAATTAGAAGCAAATAAGTAAACCGATCCTAACCCTTCAATTTAACCCTTCAATTTAAACTCTTCAACGTGTCATTAGATGCTAAAATCTCATGCTATAATTCGATTTTTCCCGTATTTCTTCATTCCTGGAAAGAGTATATATAATGATGATATGAATAGGGGTTCTCATTTCATTGTTTCGCCTCTTCTTCTTGTTCTTCTTCTTCCTTTTATGTTTAACTCACTGAGTTGCAGAGAATTAATGGGTAACAAATTTGCACTGCTCGTCTTCATCCTTTCCTTGAGCTGTGCAGTTGCTCTTGCTGAAACGGATATTTATGTGGGCGGATCTAAAGGTTGGAGTCTGGAATCCGATGTTTCAGCTTGGGCAAAGTCCGTTAAGCCTCGTGTGGGAGACTCTCTAGGTAAGCACTAATCAATCATCTTCTCCTCATGAACCGCCGCCGCACAACCATAACACAGCACATGATTTAAAATTTTATGTTAAAATTCTAATATTTTATTTTTATTTCATAATTGTATTATTGGGGCAGTGTTCAGATACACGACAGAGTATGATGTGCAAGAAGTATCCCAGTTGGTATACAAAACCTGTAATACAAATTTAAAGCCGAATCAAGTATACAACGATGGCTACACCGTCATCGAGCTGACTCAGCCCGGCGACCTTTACTACATTTCTGGCAATCACTGCAAAGACCTCCGGCTCTACATCCAGGTTGACCCCTGACACGTGGCTAGCTATCCATATATATATTTGGTTAATTATTTAGGATATATATATAATTATTTGATCTGTCTTTCTGAATCTGATGGTGAGTGTTTGACTTGAGACACCAAAGTGGCGGCTTTGGTTTTCTTGAATTATGTTGGATTGTATTTTGAGTTGAGATGTTTTAACTCTTATATGTATTTGTGGTTGCAGGTTGCTTCAACATACACGAAATAATATCCATATGTTTTCAAAACCAACCTGATGAGGCAAAAGGGTTGACCATATGACAAATACATTATTAACACATAATAATCTTTTATCAATTGGTCAAATTTCACAACCACAATTAATGTTAATAGTACAGTCAAAACTAGCCGCCAAATGTTGTCAATTGAAACAAACAAATTTTGACTATCACATTGTGTGGCACCCCATTTATCTAGCCTTTACAAACACTAGATTAATGTTTTAATTTTCTTTTAAATATGTTTATATCTAAAATGCATGATCTTGGTAATTTTAAAAGTCAATGGGATAATGAGTAGATAATATTTTATTTAAGAATTTATTAAAATAGTGTAAGAAATAAAATAAAAAAAAGATTATTAATAAGTGATGTCATAGGTAATTATGGGAGTTTGGTGGATTAAATGAGGAAAGAGAATGTTGACGTAACTGAAATGATAGGTGATTGGAGGGTTCTATTTGTAATTATCTTAAATTACTTGGCTCGTTTGGAGAAGAAACAATGAATATATGAGGTTTAATATGAAAGAAATCCGAAAGAATGAGGACTACTAATTAAAATTTTGGGCTTGAGTGTCCAAACCTCATTTACGTGTGGGAGTGGCATAAGGCTCACTTAGGCCTGCAATCGAACTGAACATGAATGAACAAACCCGCTCGAAAATCATTTGATAAGCATGTTCGATTGTTCGTGTTCGAACGAACATAGAATGTGTGTTCGTGTTCATTCGATTAACAAAAAGCTCGTTCGCGTTCGTTCGTAACTCGTTTGACTAACTTGTTCGACTAACTCGTTTGATAATTTGTAAATGCCTGTTCGAATAACTCGTTCGATAACTTGTAAATACCTGTTCGAATAACTTGTTCGAATACCTGTTCGAATAAAAAATATACACCAACTTTTCAATTCATGCCCTAAAAAACAAATATGCAACAATTTATAATTCATACCCATTTAATTCAACATTTCAAAATAAAAAAACTATCTATATATATTTATATTTTAAACAAATCAATAAAAACTCAGTAAATTAAAATAACTAACCATCATAAATAATAAAACTTCAAAATAAATTAAATAGAACAATAAATCGTTCAAAACAAATTTAGTTCCATATCAAACATGACACAAACAAAAAGAATTTGTTTACATATATATTTATTATCATTACATAAATTATCATAAATATTTTAAATGTTTACATATATATTTTGTATCAACGCGCATAAATTTATAGTGAAATGAAAATCTATTGTAATATATGATCAATACATATGTGTGATTAATTTGTTATATATAAATATATATTATTATTACTGTCTACATATACATTTTGTATCAACACCCATAAATTCATAGTGAAATGAGGGTCTATTATAATATATGATCAACATATATGTGTGATTAATTTGTTATATATAATGTATAATTGTGTATATACAGAATTATTATCATACATATATTAATCATAGGTTAAATATGTTATGAAATTATCAAAATTATAGGTTATCATATATTTATTATCATTACATAAATTATCATAAATATTTTAAATGTTTACATATATATTTTGTATCAACACTCATAAATTTATAGTGGAATGAAAGTCTATTGTAATATATGATCAATACATATGTTATCATTACTGTCTACATATATATTTTGTATCAACACCTATAAATTCATAGTGGTATGAGGGTTTATTGTAATATATGATCTATACAAATGTGTGATTAATTTAGGTTTAATTAAGCTATTATATTATTAAATTTGTTATACTATACATCGCTTGATTATACAATATGTTATGTTTATCAATTTACCATACTATATTTATTATTTATTAATTGAAATGCTATCTTATAATATTTAATTATTGATTACATTTAGAAAAATATGAAGCTATTATGTTATTGGATTTACTATATTATATATCACTTGATTATACAATCTATTATGTTATTAAATTTGTCATGCTAGTTATCATAATAATTTATTACTTTTTAATTAAAATGTTATATACTTATATATTTAATTATTGATGACATTTGGAAAAAAAAAAAACCAAACATATTATATATATAAGAAAAACAAAAGTATTATAATATTTTATTATTGATTACCATTAAAAAAAAATTCATTCAAACTAAATCAAACATAATATAAAAATGAAAAAAAACAAATTTAAATTATAATAATGCATAACATGTTTTTCGAAAATAAACGAACGAACAATCAAACGATTGTTCACGAACGAATAGATTAGTCGAACGTATAGTGTTCGCAAAACATAATCGAACGAACAACCCCTGTTCGAACTCGATCGAACAAATTATCGAACGAATATCGAACTGTTCGCGAACATTATCGAACAGTAATCAAACGAACAACAAACGTTCGCGAACTGTTCTGTTCGTTTGCAGCCCTAGGCTTACTCCCTAGGACAAGATCTATGACATGCATTAAATTATGGAAAATGATAGAGTTACTGAAAAGTTTACACCGAATTTGTGCACCGAATGACGTGGTAAAATCCTGACCGTTGATTAATATTAACTGATAATAAATCAACGGTCAAGATTGTGTCACGTCATTCGGTACACATCTATCGGTAACTGTAGCATTACTCTTAAATTATTGTTGCCGATGATAATTCCTAAGCCAACAATTTATGATCAATATTGTGGACCCAACTCAGAAGTCAATAATAATTGTAATTTTAATTAATTTTTAATGGATTTTATGTTGCCGGTTTGAGGAATTTATAAAATAATACTTTGAGTACTAATGAATGGGTACTAATCTGTGTACTAACTAAAGCATAGTACGGGTATTATACGTATAATACAGGTACTATGTTTTAGTTAGTACACAGATTAGTACCCATCCGTTAGTACCCATAACATCACTCGGAATTGATATGTTATCGGGATAACCTTGCCTCAAGATGTATTCAATGACGAGTAATAAACGTATATAAAACGTAGGGAATAGAAATGTTGACTCTGGTAATAGATTAATAATTAGGTATTTCAATGATCATACAATTAACGGAGGAAGATTTGATAATTGATATTATATTATAAAGTTCCTTTTCATATTAGACCTTGTTTTCCAGGCCAAAACATATTAAATTATTAATTATTAAGTGGCTATATAAAACCCCTTGTGCTTGACATTTTTGTAATGAGTGGTATCAGAATTTGGTCTTTTTTGTAATAAATACTCGTTAGTTTTGAAAATACAACCTGGACTCTCATTTTTTCATGGTTTGTTAGATTATTTTCTTTAAATTTGAAGGAAATGATGTTTAGACTATTCACTCAGGTTCAATCAACCTAACATAAAAAATTTATCAACGATATTTTGAGGATAATATATATTTTTAAGGTAAATTGATGAAATTATTGATAAGTTTAACTATTGAGTTGATGAAATTTCTGAAATCAACGGATGCTTACTACAATAAAAGTTATAAAACCAAACACACAAAAGTTAGGTTCACCTTCTCGAAATAGGTTCACCTTCTCGTAACCAACAAATGCTTACTTTAAAAAAAAAATAAAAAAAAAAATATATATATATATATATATAATATATAATATATATATATATATATAAATGGTAGTCTGTTCTTGTTACTGCGGTGACGTGCTGCAATGAAAATATGTTGAATGGGGTCGATCCTGATTATCCATTCAACGTCAGTAGAGTTGAATAAAGAGATAATGTCATGATGGCAACATTTCTTATATAGTAAGGTTCTAAGACGCTTGGACTCATAATTTCCACCTACTGCTTTCTTCTTCAACTTCTTCTAATCAAGTTTAATTTCATTAATGGCTCCAAACTTCGCTCTGCTTGTCTTCATCCTCTGCTGCTTCTCCTCTGCAGGTGCTACAGCCATTTATGCGGGTGGATCTAAAGGTTGGAGTCCTGATTCCGATATTTCAACCATTCAGGCTCGTGTGGAAGACGCTCTAGGTATTCCTTCTAAATTCATATATTTCTCTAACTTGATTTTTGCTTTAAATTTGTTTTTAACGATTGATGTGTTGTTATTGGGGCAGTTTTCAGGTACACCCAAGACTATGACGTGGAAGAAGTACCCCAACTGCTACACTACTTGTAATACAGATTCAAAGAAGCCGAATCAAGTTTATAACGACGACGATACCATTATCTCTCTGACTCAACACGGCGATCTGTACTTCATTTCCAGCAATTTCTGCAGAATGCTCGGGTTGTACGTCTATGTTGATCCCTGACGCCTTGCCTCATGAGTGCCAATCCATATTTACTTCATTATTTTATTATTTATTTCTTTTTTGTGTATCTAAAAATTTCTGATTTTGGTTGATATGTCTTTCTGAATTTCATTTATTCATGTTGGATTGAAGATGTATACTAGCAGAAATTGCGTTTTCTGATTGCTGAAGCCCTTGTTTCAGTTTTTTTAACCAAAAGTGCTAAATTGTAAACCACTTATTATCATCGTTAACTCGCAAACTCGACTCACCAGACTCATCAACCTCCACTTTCCTCTCCCGCTTCAACGACTCGAAAAACTATATCACTTCCTGACGCCAAATCACCATCGAACGTTCTCGTCTCCCCGATATCTTCGCCGCCATCTCTGCCCTCGAAGAACTCATACTCCCTTCCCTCCTACAAATTCCGATCAACTCTGCAACTCATCTCGAATTTGCAGCAAAACCTTATAATTTATGGAATATTTATTTACTTTACCTTTTTTAAAAAGTCAAATTAAAAGTAAAACACAATCAATTTAATTAGGTTTATATTTTATGTATAATCTATTAGGTTGTTTGATACTTTGATTGATTGATTTAATTTGTTGAGTCTATGCGATTATATTTTCGGGTCATTAACAAAATCCATCGTCTACATTTTGAATTTTGAATTATTAATAATCTAAAGGATGTAATTAATTACAAAAGATAAGTCAAAGGAGATCGGATTTCAAGTTGCTATAAAAAGTGGAGCCCACAGTGTGACCCACAAATCTATGTTCTAAATCCTTTATCAAAAGTGCTTTTTTTAAGTGGAAACTCAAAAGCACTTATCTATATCTATACGTCCCCCAACTCACCTCACTCATCTCACCAGTGACCAAGCTTTACTTTCCTCTCCTGCTTCAACAACCCATTGGCTCCGGTGTGTCTCCGCCCTTGAAGAACTGGTACTATCTCTACTCCTACAAAGTCTGGTCATCTCTCAGCTCGGGTTAAGTGTGCTGTTAATTGATTAAACACATTTAATTTACAAAGTCCGGTCATATCTCAAGGGTTGCCTGGCCCAAGACCCAACTTCAATTTGATCTTGGGTAATCATCTGCCCATCTACTAAAACAGGTCAATGAGACCCCTTACCCCTTATTAAAAAAGAAATATGAGAAAATTCTATCACCTCTCCTTTAAGAACTCATACTCCCTCCCCTTCTACGAATTCCGATCACCTCTCAAACTCATCTCCGATTTGAAGCAAAATCTCATTGATACCCGTAAACAAATTCGCCTTAAAAAACAAACCCACCGATGGATGCTTAACTCAAATAATAATAAATGGATCAAGCATGCTTCTAACAGATTAAACAGATTTAATACGTAGTATGATTGTTAAACTACACTTTTCCATCTATTCAAGCTACACCCAAACGAAAAACCACCACCGAGCCTCTATAAAAGTTATCGCCATACCATCAACTCCACCAGAACTCGTATGAGCTACAAAAGCTGGAGGTCCAGGAGTAGGAACACCTAAGATGAAGACTCGTGTTAATTTCCCTCATTGTCAGCCCTCAGATCGATGATCAGAGGAACGCTAATGATAAGAGCAACATTAGCCCTAGTAATATAATCACTCTTGAGAACTTAACAAGAAGTGCGCTAGCAACGCTCTCTTTTTCACTCTCCTTTTGAAATGTGTAAAAAAAATAAAGTGGTTGGCTCCCTCATACTAGTAAAATTAAAATAGCAATTAACAAGAAGTTAACAGCTGCAGAACTGACAATATATATGTGCAATGTCAGACCAGGTATCACAGACAATAATATACTCTAGAGCCAATCAATTCAACTAAGGCAGCAACCAAATGATGCATTATAAGTTACAACAAAAAGTGGCAAAGATTACCATACTGTTCGCACTAAACCACCATCAATCCAAGCAACGAACCATGAGTCCATGATCATTTCACCAGCACCACAAACACGCACAGGGGTCAAGGAGCCTCATTGACCCCTTACATTGGATCTCTCACATTCACTTGCCACTTGAGGCCATCTCTGCAAAGATCAGCCTGTTCGCTGATTATAAAGCGTGTCTGTGTATCAGTCAATGGAATCACGGTCACACTTCCCGTCTCTACACTAAATGGTTCCGATGTATTACAATTTATGTGATGCAATGCACTCACCAGTAGAAAGCCATCAGGTGTGTTGTTAGTGATCACTGCAACATGAAGCTAATTGTTATGATTAATTCACAAATCTTTACTTCTAACTAACATAAAAACGTAACAAACCCTGATCAGGATCCTCAAAAACAATCACTAAAGCTATAATCACCCCAAGAGCAACCTCCAAAAAAATACAAAAAAAAAAAACAAACACATACTGAAGTTCCAGAGCCAAGAACATATCATAACCTACATACTCCAGAGCCAGTGAAATTTCACAAAGGCAGTAACCAAACGATGCAATATAAGTTACATGCGCAGTGCAAATTCTAAAAATGGGCTTTTAGGTCTCTCATTGTAATGTTCTAAGAACAGAGGAATTTCTCATACGAAAGCTCCTGTTCTATGATAGTCTTTGTTATATCAACAGGAGAATGTTCTCAGCTCCTATGTTCCTATTAATTGTAATTGTTCAATAATATTGATACACAAGTTTCTGTTTCCATTCTATCATAGCAGCATTAAACAGTTGTATCAGAATTACAAACCCTCCAATGTATAGTAAATCGTAAAACTAGCACAGGAAAATAATTGTCCATTAATTGATGAAACAAAAAGAAAGAAAAATAGGAAGAAAGCAAATAACCATGGCCAAGAGACTCTGACTGAAGTATTAGAACATGGATTCTTAGGATTTTTACACAACAGATTGAATGTTGGTCTCAAGAATACTCCTACCCTTGTATGATTAAAGGTCAGTCCTTCCATTTGTAACAAGCTACAGATAGCCTCTCAAGTAATACAAGTATAATCAATCCCCATTTTGTGATGAAAAGTTATTCAAATCAAAGTGGACTCATACTCTTTCTCTATACAATTCCTGTTAGTGGTATCAGAACCTTAAGAAAAAACCACTCCAACTTTACAAAACAAGCAATCTTTTTCTTTCATTATCCAGGGCCACAAGTATTCAGATGAAGATAACAATCAAAAAGAGGGAGCATCATTTTCAAAGGAGGTGCAAACTTAACAAACTACGAGAAGTCAGGAAAAAAGATGCCAAAGATGCAGCTTATTTACCAAGGGTTTCCCAAGAATCATGAATGCTACTAAATCAAGAGAGGAAATGGAAAAAAATAAAAGCATTCAACCACTTTCTTCAGAGTAGATGAAACTTTAAAACCAAAATAGAATCTTTGGTGATGAGGTTCAAGAAAAAAAAGTTTGACCCTGAGGAAGTTGGACACAGCTACGACAATTGAAGAATCCAGAATCTATTCTACACATACGTTTCATGAACTGATGGAATCCCTAAGACACCTGACCAAAGTATCAACAACCACTCTACTTGCCTTTAGATCAAGCTTTTCAGTAACATTCAAAGGAATCTCCTATTATCAATCCATAAAAAAAGAAAGAAAATAAGAACATAGGAGTTTCTTACTGAATCTGCCATTCAATCATCACAACTTCCACCTTCAAACAATAACAATGCTCTATTTCATAATTTCTAATTGTGATACAAGCTTCTAGATACAAAACACACCATTAAAATTAAAAATTGGAAGCAAGCTGAAAGTAAGCTTGACAAAATGGTAAAGATAAAGCTGTAAGGATATGGATTTTTTTGTTATTTTTGTAAAACAGGAAAAAAAAAGGGGGGGAAAGAAAGAAACTCAGTTGAACTTCTTTGAGACATGAATTTGTTAAAAAGAAGACAATAAATAAGGTGTTTTACCTCTCTTCCTCAGAAGAGTCTCAAGATTTGGGTCTCTTCATCTATCTTGGAGGTGCCAAGTGCCCTATCAATAGCCTTCAAAATTGTCTCTTACAAAGGGTGAAGGGAATATAGGAGGCAATGAGGCATGGTGGGGATATGAACAAAAAAGAAAAAGAAACTTCAGTTGGATGAAGATGGTTGATTCTTTACAGTTCCATTTCCAGATCGAATGGATTTTGAGGGAGTGGAGATGAAGTTGACTCAAAAAATACCAGGTTTACCTCAAAATCTGCAATTTTTTACACAAGGATTTTGTCCATAGCGCATATAAAAAAACCTTTTCATGCACCAAAAACATTTAAATATATGGAAGAATAAAATCAAGTCCTAAAGCTCATTTGTTTGAGGCTATCTTTCTTTCATATCACTAAATCAGAGCTCATTTACATAAAATTAACTAAATTAAGCCTTCATATGCTCCAAATTACAAATACTCCCCTTCAAAATCTTTATGCTTTGAAGCCTACTTGCACATCTCAACATAATCATAATTTAATACCATTATTAAATCACAAACCTATGGAATATACCATAATCATAATTTAATACCATTATAATTCACAAGTACGACAACAAACAAAATCTATGAAAAAAAAACACGTTTCTCAAGAAAAAGTGATTAAAAACGAAGAAATTATTTTGGGAGATGTGTAATCTTAACTGTATTTTCTATAATTTTCACAATATTAGTGTTATTACTCATAAATTTTGTGGTGTGTTATGTGAACATCTACACATATAGGTCATAGCGCAACCATTAAAGGATAAAGAAACAAGCTAACCAAGACTGAAAAAGCGATGATCTTTCAGACCCGAAAGCTTTCATAGAACCGAATCAAACCTTACAAGCTGGTTTGGTCCGATTTCGGTTTTCAAGTTTAGGGTAGTTTTCACACCCCTATTAAATATAGCGCAGCCATTGAAAGAAAAGAAATAGAGAAAGAAGCTTACCCAGATTGTCACCGAGGGAGAAAGTGAAGATCATTCCAGGACTAGAATCAGACCAGAGAAGGTGATGATCAACTCCTGCGTGAACAAGTATACCTGCAAAATGAAAAAGAATCAATGCCATGGTTGCCGCCATTGCAAATAAACCTCTCACCGCCATCGTTGTCGTTCTCAAATCGCAACCGTCTTAAAAATGTGGGTTGGTACATAATTGCTAACCGGTTAATAAACACATGTATATATTACTTTTTAATTAATTAAAAAACAACTATCACAATTACTTTTATATTTCAAATAAGAAAGCACCTAAAATTTCATATCTTAGAACAACCAAATTGGAGATTGATTTCATATCTTCACTAAAATGAGTTAACGACTTTTTCCCAACCAAGTAATAATTTAAGAAAAATGATATCTTTACATTGAACATATAAAGAGGGTTACAAAGTGACATAAGTCAGAAGAAAAAAATAAGAAAAAAATGGAAAAAGAAAAATAGAGAGAGAGAGAAATCATGAAAATCAAGGATAGAGATTATCTTTGTATGCCGCCTTTGTATGTGTCTTTGTAAAACTAGCATTGCTCATAATTTAATGATACTTTTATATCTATAGACTTTTAAAATACTATTTTACTACCTAAGTTTATATTCTTGTGATGAACTGTAAATAAACTCAATTCAAACTGTTGGAACTTTTGAAAAGTAGAGACCGATGAGTCTTTTTGTGATAAAAGGTTGGGTTTTGATCAAGAGTTGACCCATGACTCATGGCTAGCTATCCACCAATCTATTTTCTTAATTATTTAATTTGGTATTTTTGTAATTATAATTTAGGATAATTGTATTATTTTTCTTATCAATAATAATATTAATGATATTTGATATTTACTCTTAATTAATAATTAATCCTTTGATAATATAAGTAATTAAGTAACTAAATTTTATTTATTTAAACAACGAGGTTGCTTAATTGATCACACAATCATCATTGATTAGCTGAGAACAATTTGATTGCTGTCACCATGCATGCATTGGTTTCAACTCTTAGAAAGATGATTTCAAGCTACCACGTCACCATCCATTATTATTTAATCTTATATTTATTAATTAGATTAAATGAGTCCCACTAAGGCCCAATCGGATCTGGATTTCAAATTCTAATTATGTTTATTTATTAATTAGTTTCAGTTTGGAAGTTATTTGCTTTTGTTTAATTGTATTTTGTCCCCTCTCCACATGACAAATAATAATATTAATGTATAATTAGAGTAACCTTACTGTAACTGTACTATTAATTTATAAATTATAATAAGAAATTGTAGGAAATTGATGGTAAATTTCATTTTTCTAATTTTAATTTAGATTTTTACANTCTTGCACCCAAACAAAGAACAAAAACCCCAAATCTTACCAACCAAACACCCGAATTTAGATCACATATAGAAAACACCAGTAGCAAGACCTGGAATTACCTGAAGATTTAGATTGTGGGGAGCTCTACTGCGCGGCTTCTCGATGAACTGATCTGAGCTTGCCATTGCCAGTTATATATAATATTATCTACTAATATAATAATCGCACTAAAAGACAAATTTTTTTCATGAATTAAAAAAATATAATTATATTAATCAGGAGAGAGAAGATCCTTTGGGATGTTCGAGAAACCAAACTAAAGAATGTTTTCTTATAACTTTTATGTAAATTTTATTTTTAAATATTAAAAATGATTGATAAGACTCCTATCTACAAATAAAAAAAAATGAAAAGTACGCCTTAATGGATTTAACCTCTGCTTTCATGGGAAGAGAATAAAAAGTGGAGCCCACACTGTGACCCACAGAATCTTCGTTCTTAAAGTCAATTCTTGTCAAAAGTGCTTCTTTTACTCAGAAAGTCAGAAACGCCAAAGTACTTATCTCTTCAAAAGCACTTATCTATTCAAAAGCACTTATCTCTGTGTCTCTCAACTCACCTGACACATCAATGATCAATCTTTACTTTTCTCACCCATTTCAACGAATCTATCAGCCCCACTGCCGTCTCCGCCCTTGAAGAACTCGTAGTATCTCCACTCTAAAAAAGTCCGATCATCTCTCAAATCGGGTTCAGAGATTGATTAAACACATTTAATATACTACTATGTTTAACTTTTCTCTACATCTCAGATTAATTGGTCTCGGTGTTTATCACTTATCAGTTTATCACTCTTGTAAATTATTTATTAAAAAAAAGAGTAATAATATAATTTAAAAGCTGAAATCAACTTTTAATCTCAGCTAATATTATCATTCTCATCAAACTAATATGATCATTGTTATCATTACAGGAAGATTATTGATACTAATCCAGACAACGTTTGACCTTCACAGTTAGAATCCCATTTACATACAACCAAATTACTCCGTGATTACATAGAACCAAAACCTCATCAAAGCTATTCCCATGACCCTAAACCCTAGTTGAACCATCAAGACCAGCAGGACCTCCGTTTAACTTCACCGTATAAAACAAAAGCTTTTGCTGTGGGCAACAGTTGCTGGTCTTGTCACTGGCGAGCCTAGACTGGGAGAGAGACCACATCAATGGAGAGCTTAATTAAGCAGCTCTCAGGTCCACCAGAGATGAAGAATCGTGTTCCTGGTTCACCAAGCTTGATCATGGTAGGACCACTATTATATTCACTAACTGGGTTTGTAGTTAGGCAATTCATGAATGCAAGTTGGGTGACTTCCAGAACATTATACTCCGGCGTGTATTTGAACACTGTTCCAAGAAGACATGATAATTGTTATTATCATAGCCAAGCAAAGCCATAAAACTAACACAACAGAATAATTGTCCATTAATCCATGAAAGAAAAAGAAAGAAAAAAAGGCAAAGAAAGATCAAATAAACATAGCTTTAATGCCTCAGATACACAGGCCCATCATGGGGTTCCTATTAAGAATTAATTTTAAAAAAGTACTTTCCTCAACAATGTTATTCAGAGGTTTTCATAATTCATGAATGTTTCATGTATTATGCAAAGGATGTAAACTTCTCTTTGAAATTTATTTTGTCTGAATTAAAACATAGAGGCTTAGGATTTCTACAGAAAAGATTACTAGATGTTATCCTCTTGAATACTCCTAACTCTTGCATATGTAAAGCCAGTCTTTCTTGAATACTCCTAATTTCTGTATATCCATTTGTAACAAGCTACAGACAAACTCTTGAATACAGACTGATTAGGTGATGGTGCTGGTGATTCTGAATTCCATGGTGTTTAGTTCTGGTTCAAGGAGGTGAAGGTGCAGGTCTGCAAATTCTACAAACGGGCATTTAGGGTCTCATTCTAATGTTCTCTGTTCTAAGAACAGAGAAAGCTCACGTACTAAAGTTCCTGTTTTAAGAGATAATCGGGTTCTTAATTCTAGCGTTCATTTTCATAACAAATAACAAATTCCTTAATCTCTTTGCTAAAGGGGATAACAAGTTCATTCACTGATATAGTAGATTATAAGCTCTTTGACATATCAATTAGGATAAACTGCAGAGCTACTATGTTCCTGTTAGTTGTTCTCAATCAATTTTATTGATAGACAAATTTCTATTCTATCATAGCCAAGCAAAGCGATAAAACTAACACAACAAAAAAATTATCCATTAATCCAGCAAAGAAAAACGAAGGAAAAAAGGGAAAGAAAGAGCAAATAAACATAGCTCCGATGGCTCAAATACACAAGCCCATCATGAGGTTCCCAGGGCCTTAAAAAAACCCACTCCAGATTCACAAAACAAGCCTTCTTTTCCTATTTTTATCTATGCCCACATACAGCCACAAGTATTAAGACGAAGATAGATTTTTATGTCGCAACATTGTAGGAATCAGTTGAAGAAAGGTATCGAGAAAAATGAGGATTATTTCCAACCGAGCTGCAAACTTATCAAAAGAAGTCAAGAAAAAGATTGTTTACCAAGGGGAAGTAAAACAATTTTTCCTAGAATCATAAATGATACTAAATCAAAAGATGCATGGTAAATTCTAAGAAAACAGTTTGAAGGGTTCAGGAATGTGAGCCTAATCCTCTTCTCATCATGGTTTTTAGTTCTGGTTTTTAAGGAGGTGAAGGGGCAGGTGTGCATGGTTTTCAGTCATACAAGAGAATAATATATATAGAATCTGTTGCCATCATGGCTTAGAAATGAAGATAATATAAAAGGATAAAGATAGAGAAGCAAACCCAAAGAGTCATTGGGGTAAAAAGTCTTGCTGTCCGCCCATGCCTGCAGATCAGTGTTCGGAGACCAGCCAACATCATAAATTGCTGCATCAGTAGATACAAATTGAGAAGGCATCAATGCCACTATGGTCACCATTGCCACCACTTTCAAAACCGCGCAACTCAACGTCATCCTTGCAACAATTACTGAAACCAAACAAACACGCAGTTGATGATGGCCAATTCAATTACTAATCAGGAGTTGAATTCAATTAAGGCAGAGATACGCTAACAACTAACATGCCTAAAATGAAATTCAACGGTTATCTAGCTGATAGAGCCACCTCAGCTGGTGATCTGTCAAACCTCTGTTAAGAAATTAACAAAAACAAAAACAAAACAAACAACATAGTAGCAAGATTATCAGATACTCTAATATAAAAGTAGTTAAAAAGAAACACACCCAGTTTGAATTAAGAAAAATTTGGAATAAAAAAAACCAGATCTTGCACCCAAACAAAGAACAAAGACCCCAAACCTTACCAACCAAACACCCGAATTCAGATCACATAGAGAAAACAACAGTAGCAAGACCTGGAATTACCTGAAGATTTAGATTCGGGGGAGCTCTACTACGGCTTCTCGATGAACTGATTTGAGCTTGCCATTGCCAGTTATGATATTATCTGTTAATATAATAATCGCACTAAAAGACAAATCTTTTTTCATGAATTTAAAAAATAAGTAACAAATTATGAAAATTGATTAATTATATTAATCAGGAGAGAGAGGATCCTTCTGGGATGTTCGAGATACAAAACTAAAGGATGTTTTTTTATATATTAAAAATGATTGATAAGAATGTAAAAAAGAAACAGCTTTGACCACTCCTATCTACAAATAAAAAAATGAAAAGTACGCCTTAATGGATTTAACCTCTACTTTCATGGAAGAGAATATATAATTTTAAGAATATTAATTTTTTATATAAAAGTAGGACCCATAACCTATTATCTGTTAAAATTTTGTATAAAAGAACGGAGATTTTGCAAATTTTGAGGCAGGGAAAACGAAAAGGAAAGGCAAAAATTTATAAACGACTAGGCCATAGATATTGAACTTACCAAAATCTGCTGACAATAGTCGGCCACGTTGCTCTGAATATGATCGCCGAGATGTTATGCCATGATGAAAAATTAATAATTCTACTATAATGATATCATCCCGCCGCAGCATCTCCCCTGGTGCCAACAAAACAACAACCATTGAGATAGGCAGCTGCATAGATAGTTTTTTTTCTCAGTTTCAAAGAGAAAGGAATGGTAAGAAAGATGACAGTCAAGATGGGTGGCTTAGGCTTCTTTGAATTTATTTGATTGGTTGATGGGCTTTTTGGGAAATAAACACTAAGGCATAAGGGTAATTATATTCATTTTAATCAACTATTCTATTTTTGTAATTTTGGGATACATATATTCTGTCGAAAAAAAAATCCTTAAAAATATATTTGACAAAATAACCCAATTAAAATATTTAAATTGAAATTAACTATTATAAATATAATTAAAATTTGTATTAATTTAAATAATGTAATAAATATAAAAAAATATTTTTTATTTAAATAAAAAATCTCAAACAGGGCCCGTGAAGAACCACTGATCGACAATTTATGAATTTGTACGAAGAGTTTCGGCAGTCTAAGACCACAAGAACAATGTCAAACCCACACCCAAATCCACAGATCGGATGCGCGGTGAAGACGAATGCATGATTTCGACAAAAGTCAACACCCTTGGGTGGAAGTGCCGGACCAAAACAATCATTTTAAATTTCAAATATTTTAAATATTAATATGAATTAAATGTTTCAGGGTTAAAATGAAAAAAAAAAAAAAAAAATTGAAAATGGAATTTCAGCTCATACAGGGAACGAAGTTGAGTTGGGCAGGTCTTAAGCTGAGTTTTAGCCCTTATTTTGTTGTGAAAAGTGGGTTGAGTGAGATCGGTAGTTTTAAAATCTTGGATATTAAAAAAACCCTAATGTGCGTTCAAGTGTAGTCGTGTTTTTGGGTGAATAGTTTAGGTGAAGTTTGTGCGTGGGTTTTAAAAAATTTGTTGGAATTAAAATCTTGGATATTAAAAAAACCCTAATGTGCGTTCAAGTGGAGTTGTGTTTTTGGGTGAATAATAATTTAGGTGAAGTTTGTGTGTGGGTTTTAAAAAATTTGTTGGAATAAGACACTTTAGTCAACAAAAAGAAATGGCTTCGGAGGATGAACTGTTCATTCTGTCTGGGCATTAAGAGTCTTCTTTTTCGGTCCCAAATTTGATTTACTAATAAGTTAAAATAAGGCAGAGAAAGATTAAAAGAGGTACACGTAGCTTAGGAATTCTTAACACACCTGAAATTGTTGGTGTTGGCCGGCCATGATTGAGCAATAGGAGGAATTGGAAACCATCGATTCCCCCATCCCCAAGCTCTCCTTCTTGGTAATCCCATTTCTGCTTAAGAAGCAATTGTCTGTTTAGATCTGTGATCTATAACTCTTTATGAAATGGACTATAAATACCTTGCGTGGGAATCATTCAAAAATGTATTAATATAAATAGTAATACAACACAAAAGTAAGTAGGAAAATAAACCTATTTCTACGCGATAACTCTTTGCCAAAGACGAGATCTTATTACCCGAATCGCTTCTTGTATGCTGCCACCAAAAGATCGGGGTGAATACAGGCAGATGCACTTTCATCTTGGCCAGAGCGTCGGCACACTGAAGAAAATCTATTAAGATCAAGACTATGGAACAAGCGTACTGTTTTAAGTCAACGAAGGGGCATATTTTTCTTTGACACCATATTCAACATCTCTATACTCATCAACTGATAACAAAAATAAAATCAAAACCAAATATATCAGAATATAAAACATAAGACAACATAAAATAAAAAAACCTCAAATCTCTAGATCTACTTGATCGTGGCAAATAACGACGACTTAGACCTAATCACGTGTTTAAATTTTTATTTATCGACGTGTGTTTAGATTGCCCTAGAGCAGTGTTTATTTAGGTTTAATTTTGTTTGAAAGTTTATAAATTTTGGAAAGAAAAGACATAAATGCTTTCTTAAATAATAAGTTTAACCATTTGATGCTTAAAATTGGTAGTAAGTTTATGAAATCAGGGGTATCAATTCAATCACAAAAAGATACATGTGATTCGGAGAATTCGGCCCCACATAAAGAGACTGGTTACCAAACTTTTGGAAACCCGTAAATAAATCCGAAAATTCGGCCTTTAGTTAGAAAGCAAAGACTTAAGAGAAGTCAGTGCCCGACCTATCTTTCGTCAAGTAAAATATCCAAGGGCTGATGTTAAACTTGAAATGACTTGATGCTTGCTAAGAAGTGATTAATGGAAAAAAATTCTTGGAACGAACCTTAATAAAAATTCATCAAACAACATCCATAACTACACTCCTGCGGACTCGCGCCTACTCAAATCCACAAACAACTAAACGACAGAGCATTCTGAAACACCATTTATGGAATGGATAAAGAAGAAAACACAAAAACCCACCAAATTCCAGACCAAAGTTTACAAAAGAAACACCAGTTGATGCTGGAGTGTTAAAACTTAAGAGACCAAATTGCAAAACCAAAAACAAGAAAACCAACATTCAACGGTAGATAAAATCCAACATATAAGCAGCAGATAAAATCCACATATATGCAGCAGATAAATAAACTGAAATGTAAAGGGGACAAAGATTTATAGTGGTTCGGTAATCTTATAGATTACCTACATCCACTCTCCAGGGCAATAAGCAGATTTTCACTATGAGAATAAGAGAATCTTACAAAGATACGCTCACCCTTTACACAGTGCACACACCCCTCTGTAAACCCATATCTCAACACCTCTCATACACCACACACCAAATAACCAAGCATTAGTACAGATTTATACAGAAGAGGAAAACAGAAAAACAATCCAGCTAAGACCTACCACTACCGTTGATTCCATCAACTCTCTTCGAAACTCCAGCGCATCCAACATTCGTAACAAACTTTTCTCTCTCTGTTAACCAAGAGAGAAAACTCGAGAGAAATGAAAAATGAGCAAAACCTAATTTGAATTAGGTTTATTGAAGACTGGTTTTGATAGAACTGCCCCTTAGCTTTAGCAAAATGGCTTTGACTGCCCAAATTAAACTTTGACTTTCACATGGACATAAATCAATTGCCACCTCACAACATGGAGCGTCTCTCATATCGTCACCAAACTCGTTTAGAAACTTGCAAAGTCGACTCACCTGACTCATCCACCTCCACCTTCCTTTCCCGCTTCAACGACTCCAAAAACTCCATCACTTCTCACCTCCAAACCACCACCGACCCCTCTCGCCTCCCAGATATCTCCGCCCTTGAGAAACTTGTCGCCGAAAACTCCTACTCCCTCCCCTCCTACGAAGTCCGACCATCTCGGATTTGAAACAAAATCTCAAGAACTTATCGGCACAGTTGATCTCCAGAAAGAAAATTCGCCTTCAGAAACGAACCCACCAAAACCCAAACCCAGATCCCACTAAATGATGTCGTTTCAACACCAAATGAAGCAAAACCAAAGTCAAATTTCCCTGTTCATGAATCCCCGGGTTTTCGAGATAAATAAAACGAATTATTGTTCCGAGATTTTGAGGGGCGTTTGGTTCAGTAACGTTAGATTACTGGGAATGCTGGATTACTGGAAAGATAGATTACCTTAGAAGAGTACTAGAAATCTTTAGAAAAATGTGTTTGGTTAGTTGGTGGGTATGTTATATTAATATGTTTGATTATGGGGAATAAATTGGTGGGTATGTTATTTAAATTACCAGATTGTCCCGTTTTCAAATATTAATATAATATTATTTTTATTATTAATTTTTGAATAATTTCTTTTAACCCCCAATATTTTAGATTTAATTAAAACACCCTCGCTTATATAAAACTTTAATTTATTATGAAATCACCCCCACCACCTGCCGCCATTGCAGACCACCGTCAGAAGTCTCTGAAAGTCCCCATCAGCAACTGATCGAGATCTGGTCACTAACGGCCAGATCCGTGGCCATTATCGGCCAGATCTGGACGAAATCTGGCCGTTAGCGGCCGATCTATTCTGGCTTATCGGCCAGATCTGGACGAGATCTGGACGGCAATGGCCATAATAGATCTGGCCATTTCCGGCTAGATCTGGCCTGATATGGCTGTTTTCGGCCATCAATATGGCGAAAACGGCCATATCGAAGCCTCCTGGAGTCTCCCATCGAATCTCGTTCTTTTTTAAGGACTCCGATGATTTTTCGATGGCAGCCCATGGTGGTTGGCCAGCTAT